GCAGCGTCTCTTCTTTCTTCCCTTTCTTCTCCTATAGAAGGTAAAATCGTTCACTTAATGTTAGCTAACGCTATTTGTTGATCCTAGCTAATGACATTACATGCAAATACACAGGAAGTGCACGTTTACAGTAATTTTTATTAATGCTGAAATAATCTGCACAATGCTTATTTGAGAGTGGATACCTTAATGCCTGTACATTACATCATACTCCTGTTCTCAGACCAGATCCTCAAGCCTTGGCCAACAAATATTAGATCACTGCATTTGGCTGAAAACTATTTCAGGTTTTCCTAAGTTATTTTCAAGTACATTTCTTTGGGAAGATGAAGATTCAATATGAATGCATTTTGCAGCACTAGTTAAGAACAGTGCAGAGTTATTAAATGTATTAGTCCTTCGGGGTATGCTTTAATGATCACATATAGATATCATACCTTAGTACGAGAAAAGTAGCTCCCCATAATACACTGACTGTAGATATCTACACATAGAGAGATATCTGTAGATATCTGCGTGAGCTTAGAGACCAAACTCACTTGTAGACGCTTAAATGCAACCGCTTGAAACTGAATCCTTGATATCAAAGGGTTTCTTACATGCGAGCCACAGCCTTCCGTGCCAATTTACGCTGTAATCTGCGATTTTCGTCCGTATCACGAAGAACATGATCTTCAGCTGCCCATCTATCCCAGCTAGCAAAAGGTCAAAAGAAAAACGTTAACAGTTAGGGAGATATTCCACTGACGATCACTAGTGAATTAATACACATGACACCTACAAAGTACTATTTTAAAGTCATTCAAAAGTAACATTTACAGTTGTATCACAAGGCTTGCATCCTTTTGTATTTTTATGGCTTTAAATCTCAAGATAACTTCAAAAAGCTCTTAAATTTGGACTTAGCATGGGCAGAGATTGCATTTATAGAATCACAGAATAGTTGAGGTTGGAAAGGACCTCTGGAGATCATCTAGTCCAACCTCGCTGCTCAAGCAGGGTCACCTAGAGCATATTGCCCAGGATCGCGTCCAGGTGAGTTTGGAATATCTCCAGGGAAGGAGACTCCACTACCTCTCTGGGCAACCTGTGCCAGTGCTCTGTCACCCTCACAGGAAACAAGTTTTTTCTCAGATTCAGATGGAACTTCCTGTGGTTCAGTTTGTGCCCGTTGCCTCTTGTCCTGTTGCTGGGCACCACGGAGAAGAGTCTGGCCCCATCCTCTTGACACCCCCCCCTTCAGATACTTGTATACATTGATAAGATCTCCCCTCATGTGCTTTTCTCCAGGTTGAACAGGCCCAGCTCTTGCAGTCTTCTTCCTAGGAGAGGTGCTCCAGTCCCCTCATC